AAAGCTGCTGGCTAAAAATAAGTTTATGGGCATTTTTTTTTTTTTTTGCAGATGCACAGATTTAATTGCTCCTTTGACACAGCAGATCCGAGAAGTAACTTAAATGAACTTTAGCGCTCCCTCATTTCCAATCGCAATTATTGTGCGCAGTGGGCGAGCGGCCCGTCATCGCTCCGCGTTATTTTCGGGTGTTACAAACTCCGGAGATGCTCCAGCGCACGCAGGGCGGACTCGGCTGCCTTTTGGAGGCGTTGGTTTCTGCTGGTGTCTATCTTACGCACTATCTCCGCCCTCAAGGGAGAGACTTCTCCGTTTACCGAGCACCCCCTCTTTTTTTTTCCCCTCCTCTTCCCCCCGTGCACTGCCGTTAAATCATAAAATAATATTTAAAAAAATTAGGTGTGACGGACTGCAAGAGAGAAAAAAGGACACCGCGTCAATTTGGCACCGGATTCATAATGAATTTCTGGATTATGGGGACGTCGTTCTGCCACGCAGGGTGAACTACAGACGCTTTCCAAGATAAAAAAAAAAATCCCCCAAATGTGCACGAATCAGATCTGGTTGAAATGCTGCTGCACATCTTTTTTGGGGGGATTTCGCCTGTAAATAATCCAGGATGTTTGATTTTTCTCTCTCTCTGGTTTTAGTGCGCGCAATGTGCAGCGGGTTTGTTGCTGCTGAGAGTTGGCACAGCCCACAGGCATCACCTTACTGATCGTTTCCAACGTCGCTATGATACAGGATCCGCGTTAATCTCCGGCACAGTGCTTCAAATATACATACAAGTGGCAGGTGATCAACTGAACTGGCTCCGTGGATCGTTTGACCAAATGCGCTAAAAAAAAAAAAAAAAAAAAAAGGAGTTCGTCTTAAATTCCCACATTGATACGCGACGCAGGGGCTGTTTGAAGTCACATGCGCCCAGAACAAACAATTAAGATGACAAAAACCGTCCCCAGAAGAGATTGTCTTTATTACCGAGGAAGCTGCATTGGGATCACATCACAGTTCCTGGACAGAGTTGGAGGACGGGCAGCGGAGGAAGCAGAGAGGGAGGAGAAGCAGAGGAGAGCTGCTGAGCGCCACGACGGAGCCGCTGCTGCTGCTTCTGCTGCTGCTGCTGACAGGGAAGCTCTGGCTTCAGTGATGGACTGAGCTGAAGGGATCCGCATGACAGTGAGCTTCACGCTTTCCTCAGAAGCCTTGACGCTTGACAAAGGCATGCACGGACACATTGCAGCATAGGTGAGAGAAGCAGAGGGGGGCTGCACACTTTGAACACAACGAATTGGCCTAATGAGTGAAATATCCCTCAGAGAGGACAGCACTGGCCTTTCATTTGGAAACCGTCTCTCAGGTCTGCACAAACTGCTTCTACCTTTGTCCCAAAAAGCAAGTAAACCTGGAACCTCAGCCCCTTCCTAAGTGCCCTGGAAGCCCACCACCGGATTCAGTTTGGATCCACAGATGTGACTAAGCTGTCAAGATTTCTTCACCAGGAAGTCCTGTGATATTGGGTGAGTGTTGTGCACAAGTGTGGGCAGAGGGGAAAGTGACATGGACCAGAACTTACAATCTAAATGTCCATATCTGTCTGTGTGAAGTGATGGAGGCGTTTAAAGATGCTGTTCCACCGTACAGCCTGAATGTTTGGAGCAGACGGGAGAGTCTGTATCAGCTGTGAGCATAACTCACAGTGCAGGTCTCCAGCTTCTGTGTCTTTTAAGGTGATGGGCTGCAGAATGCATCGACTCCACCGACACAGCGACGAGTTCAGTCAACCTGGGACGCGGATTTATAAAAAGTTTTTCAATTTCATGCAGATGGCTGGTGTGCACGTCTTGCTTAAATGCTATTTTTTGACATCATGAAATCAGACATTCACCTTAAATCTGCACCACTTCTTAGATAATTTGGCACGAAACCAGAATGAGCCGCTGTGAGGATGTTCTGGCTGCAGCCACGGGCCGCCCCCTCCTCCAGCTCTGGATTGATGGCTGTTTGATAAGACTTTCCACATATGAAGTTCTCAGCGTGCACCGTGTCCTTAAGTATCACAGGACGCATTATAGCCACACATTAGCATAAAATAACAGGTTTGTGCAGAAGTGCTGTCATAAAGTGTAATTGATGGACAGACTGCTTCCGAGGCGTCAGATTGTCACACTTGATTTTTATCTCAAAGGGACATTTTGTACACCTGAAGGGCATCAAACTACGTGCATTATGACATAACATTTAGTCGGGAAGCAGCGGCGTCTTCAGTTTAATATCACACAGCAACGCACAGTCGCTTCCCCTCACTGAGAAGAATATTATTTATTCATGTAATTTATATTCAGGAGAATTTTCAGCTTGCAAGTGCCTGCACACAAACCCGCTGCTGTCTCCAAGTGAAGTCACTGCAAAGACGTGGTTGATTGACAGGCGGCTGCTTCTCTAGAGTCAGCCACACTTTCTTGCCATTTTGCACTGATTTCACTGATACCTGTAGTTTTATAATTAGCTGTCTCTGGGTGTTGCACACTGAACACCTGCACAGACTATAGGGGGCCTTCTGGGAGCTGGTTCTCCGTACTGGAGCTGGTTCTTGAACTCTGTAAGGTCAAAATAAAGGAAATGACAAAACAGGGTTGCTTTAATCAGTTTGCTGAGATATCAAGAGGTTTGGTGCTGATGAATATCTCCTATTAGGCTGAAATAGCATTTGCCAAGTGTCCCACTTTGACTGGACTTTGCGCTGTTTGTGTGTTTTGGAGGAGCAGACAAAAATACGCATGTGTGATTTTACTTATTTACTGTTGTGACATTATTTCTCCATCTCAGCTGGCAGCAGATGTAGTCGGTGATGGGACACCGTCTTCATGGCCCATTATATTGCACAGTTATGGCACAGTGTGGGCTCTTGCATACCGTTCCCCATCTCAACCAAAAACATAACGCAGTGCAGAGAGAAGCACTTGAGTTAATGAAATGTCTGAGGCTGCACACTCGATGGAACAAGATAAGTCCGGCTCCCTCTGACTCATTGGCCCTCGCAGGATTTCCTCGTCCTCCTCCACATGAAACGGCTATCTGTATAAGATATGAGGCATTTCATACGTCTCTTCATGGAATTATCCTGTTAGTTTAGCCGAAATAGAAAAAGACGTGAATCCTGGACGTCCATTAATCTCTCTAAATTCCTCGTGAACTGTTGAGAATCTGGACTCCTCGCCACTCTGTCACAGTTGTCAGTCGGGAGGCCGACAGCCGGCAAAGAGCTGATTCTGCTCCAGCACCAAGTTTCCGTCAGAATTCTGCTGTTCTTCAGCCATCTTCAATGCAACACATGGAGGGGGCTTTCTCCTGCTGCCAAGGACACAAAGGCTTTGTCAGGCTGCTTGAATGTTCTCGAAAATTTAAAAAAAAAAAGAAAAAAAGAAAAGTAGGGGCTCCTGTCAACGAGCTCATGTCCTGCAATTTCTTCAAATTGTTTTCATGAATTTCTTTCCCCATCCTCATTCTTTTTTTTTGTGAGCACAGAAAACAGGAGATATTTTTACCCTTCTGGTAGATTTCCTCCATCCTGAGCCTCTCTCCTCAGTTAACACAGTCTGACGACGCACCACCTCATAACACCCATCTGTTTTCTCTTGCAGAACTGCCCAACAAACCTCCTTTCATTCCCATTCCCCTCTTCATGCGCGTTCATACGTGGACGCTGGATTTCTGTGCTAACCAGTTAGCATCTCATGCAGCAGTGACTAACGCTTTTTAATTTGGAAATATTCACATCATGATGGAGACGCTTCCAAATGATGTGCTGGCTGGTTCCCACATCAGAAAAAAAAAAGCTGAATATCTCAAATGCTCTGCTCAAATAAAACCCTGCTTTGGATAACAGTAAAAGTATTAGCTGGGTTAGCTAAGCAAGGAATAGAGAGCATGAGGGAGTTAAAGGCCCCTTCATTTGGTTTGTCTTCACTGTACAGAATGATATGTGGTCAGAGTTTGAGGCGAGAAGACTCTTTTCACGTTTATCTGCTAAAAGTTTTTCAGTGGTTGTGCAAAATCTGAGTTTAAAGCAGGCAGGATTTGTAGCTAATGCTGATCCAAAAGGCAACTTACAGTCAGAAATCTGTAGCCTGCATTGCACGAACACCAAAACTGTCTTTAAAATAGGAAACGTCTTGTATCCAGTGGTTTTGTCATAAATATTAGCCTATTCATTGATTCTGTGAGGCAGGAGGCACTGGTGCTATTTTAAGGCTTCATAATGAGGTAATTAAACCTTTTTACAGAAAAAAAACCTATCAAACAGAACTTGTTATTCAAAGCAGAGTATTTTTATTACAACTTGGAACATGCCTGGAGGGGATCTTTAAACGCTGGCGTCTCCAGGAATCCTTATCAATTAATCATAGTGGCAGCTTGTGGTTGAGCAGCGTTGTGACATTTAGCCTGCAACTCCACAAAGGGCAGCTATGATAGGCTCGATGTAGGAGAACCTCCAGCACAAAGACGGATATTTTTCCTGACATTGACAAGTTTATAAGCGTGCTCACATGGCCCGCAGTAGCCCCGGACCGAACCACCCTTATATTATCAATGCATTCAAATCACACGGCTAGTTTTTTTGTTTCTGCAAGACAAGTCCCTACTGGTGACGTACTGCTGTTTTTAATGAGTCTCCAGAATCCTCAAAGATGTCTGATAATCATGTGGATGAGAAAATACTCCATCTGCTGCAGCTTGTAGCAGGAAATTACATTTCTCTGTGTTTTATTTGTACAATGAAGCAAAATTATGCAGTTTTGTTTGTATTTTTTTGGTCATATATTAATGTCACTTTGCTTTATTTCATATTTTCACACACGATAACAAGTTAATGTTTTTATTTACTTACTTTTTTTTGTGTGTGTGTCTCTCTTGTGTTGTAATTGTTGGTCCATCAATGTCAAAAACTAAAACAACAACAACAACAACAACAACTTGTGTCTGTGCCATATAGCTGCATGGACACATCTTCAAAGACGTGGCTCCCGCATCAGAGTCAGTTTGGGTTGGTTGGTCAAGCGGAGGTTTGCTGTGGTGGACCTGGAGTTTTAACCCCAAGTGAGTCGGTTTTAGACAAGAACAAGTCAACTTTTCTCCACTGTCAGCTTTGTCATCTCTCAGCCTTCCAAAGTCTTGTCGTGGTCCAGTAAAATCTCTCTCTGTGATATATATGTTTTTATATGTCCCCTGTTTTCTCTTGCCGACGCTTAACGAAAGGCTTAACACACACTCCCTCGTCCGCCATGCTTTCCAGTCCTTTTCAGTGGCTTTACAAAAAGCACCTCGGTATGTTGAGGATTTTTTTACCACTCAATCCTCTGCCGGAGCATCACTCACCCTCTGAGCCCTGCTTTGTCACACTCCCAGAGTTGTATTTTGACATCCTCCGGGTCCTGATAGCACCATTTACTCCGGCTTTGATACACTCCCAGTCTTTTCCTCCTCACTATGCTCACTTTTGCTTCCCCCCCCGGATGAAAGCAGCCATATTTCTCCTCCCTCTGGGGACGGCGAGAGAAATAATTTTCTATTAGTTAGTGCCGCGTGTGAAGCTGTTGTTTCAAACATTGAGAACTGGACGGCGGCGATGTTCGGGAAGTGTCAGGAAGAAACAAACAAGAGGCGATCTATGCTGTGGGCGAATTCTTAGCTGAGGACCACATTATTATTATTATTTTTTTGCTGTGTGATGTGGTGAGATAATACAGAGAGCAGCAGCTTCAAATCGCTGCTCGATCGCTCGGATTTCATCCTCAGCTCTTTAATTTGGGTTTTTGCTCATTTGCGAGCGTAGCAATGATGCTTCTAAATACATTAGTAAAAATGAAGGTAGTTTGATGGAGAGCGGTGCACAAGCTGCGAACATGTTCCTATGGTAACTAGGCCACACTCCCCTTGGCTAGTTCACACACACACAGAGGCAGAGGGACCGGCAGCAGAGAGGCAGGAATACTGGAAAAAAAAAACCACACACACACGTGATGGAGAGCAACTTCAGGTTGTTTATTGAGGTTACTGTTCTCATGCTCTTCCTCCGCTCCGAGGGCATTTATATATATATTGTCTTGGCCCTCAGAAACACTGGTTACACGGCAGAATGTTGGAAGTCACTTTCTTTTGTGTGTTTCGCCTCCTGTTTCTCCAAAAATATCAGTCAGCTTTTCGAGCCGATCGCAGGTTCTTTCCCGTGGCTTCCTCGCGCCCACACTGCCCCTGCTTCCTCAACCCCTTCCACCCACCTCCTCTTTCAAATCTCGCAGCTCTACCTCTTCTGCGCATTTACTTGATTACGGCGCTGTTTCTAAACATAGCAGCAGAGTTTTTTTTTTTTTTGCACAACTTTTCCCATCAACCCAAATTTCCGCTGCACATCTTGTTTTTTTTTTTCGTTCGGCAGAGCCAGGTTGAACTCCTCCGTATTTGGATTGTGGAGTCGAAATGGTTTTCAACAAGCATTCAACAGCCCCTAATGTTTTTTCCACTTTGCATTTAAAAGAAGCAGGCGCCGCAAATTTGGAGCTTCTCCCATCAAGCATCCGATTCTCTAAATGCCAGCGGTTGTACGTCTCCGTGCACTCTGCATCTCCAATGTCATTCTGTGTTTTGTAAATCGCTGCTCACACTTAAACCGTGTCAAACCTCCCGGGGCGATGCTGCCGGCCTGTCAAAGAGCCATGAAGTTGATGCAGCGAGGTTTTGCTCCCGTCAGTCATGCACACTGATTGTTTCGACAGCTCGCTCTTAATGAATGGCCTTAACTTTCCACACACATTTCGCAGTGTCTGTGGTTTTTCTAACAGCTGCCGAAGTGACGCCGGTTGAATTCGTGATGCCAGATGAATCAAATCTGACTCGGAGTTCTTTGGCAGTCTCTTTAACAAGCGCCGCTAGATTTGAGCATCGACTTAAAAAAAAAGTCAATTCACGCAAATGAGAAAAAAAATACATTTTTTTCCCCCCCTCCTTGCTTTCCCCTTTTGTGATATTTATCCATGTAATCCTCATTTTTGTGCCAGTTTGCCTCTAAATAGTCTGCAGCAACCTCAACTTTCAGTGTAAATCCTTTTTTTTTCCCCATGAAAATTGTTCACAGCAAAGTTTTTCATTGTTTGATTTTGACTTAACAGCCAATCTTAGCTTCAATGTAAGCACCCTGTGCCATTCAAAAAATGTATTCAGAGCCAGCGTGAACATGTTTCGGTGTACTTTGGGAGCTTTTTTCTTTTCTCAAACCTTTTCACTGCTGATTTGAGTCATTTCTGGGCTAAATTTGACTCTTTTCCGATGAAGAAAAACTGTTTAAATTACACCAATATGGCAGGAAATTCACATACCTCGTCCCCGACCGTAATGTAGCAGGACAGTAAATGAGTAAATAAATAAAATGTTGAATTAGTAGCTGTTAAATGGTTGATTATTTCTCAAATCTTGGTCTTTCCAGGCATCACTTGGAGGGAGATTAACATCCTGGCATCAGGGCAAATGCAAATATCACAATATAAGATAAACGTTTTAAAGTTTTTACTGATTCCTCACCGAGAAACTGAAGTGCCACAAGGAACTCCAAGAACAAGATGCATGATACTCTTAAAAGCTAGAATACTCTCGACACCAGAAACATGTAAAATAATGCGTGTTAAGCAAAAATATAAGCCACTAAATACTATGCACACCAAACAGTAACTATAAATTTGCCCGATGTTGGATAGAACTGTCAGTCCTCTGCACTCTGTTTCCATCTTCAGTGCGATATTTCCTTCCCACTAAGCGATTTTCACGGGGAAAGGGATTCGAGTTTCACCTAACCAGTCACCGGAGACCGGCGTATTCTCCTCGGGTCCAACACGTTACTTGACAACATTTGAGAACAGCTTGACAACAGCGTTGGTCCCCGCCCATGGCTCCGGCTGTCTGAACCGTTGGTCGTCCTGTGGAGCCCAGTGGAGCGATTGCTTTGTTTTATGCTTTTTGTGCTTTTTATTGACGGAAGTGGTGGAAGGAGACAAGAAATACGTGAAGAGAAAGTAGACGGCTGACATGCAGCAATTGCAAATCCGCTGCTCGGGGAGCATTAGCGCCCGTGTGGTACGAGTCCCAACCTCGTGGCTGTTGGGTCGACTGTTTCATGTCACGACGCCAGACGAAAGGCAAACTGCAAATTGGATTGAGACAAAAAAAAAAGGCCAATTTGAATGCCGGGGAAAGTAGCGCGTGCGATCAAAGTGACTTAGTCTTTGACATATCGACTTACATTTTGGACATCTGGAGCTGCCAGAAAAGAGCATGCCATAATTACCGGCTGGTTGTTGACATGGACAGTATTTACTAGTTGGAATATGGCAATTACAGCGACTTCCCATATGACATGAATGCGACATCTGCCCCAGCAGGCCTGTCTGTGAGTCACCGGAGGCTCCTCGTTGTCAGATGCTCCAGACCAGACATAACGAGATTTTGTGTGTGTGATCTGTTGCTGGAAGCGCTGTCGCTCCGAGACCAACCGGACTGTACGCCGTTTACATTACGAACAGCCACGATGCAATTAAGCTCTCTTGTTCTTAGTAAGTAAACTCAGCTCCCACCCTCAAAGCAGCAAATTAAAGGAGTGTTTTGTAGTCCTCACAACGCTGAAAAAAACCCTCAATACCACAGCTGTCAGAGAGCTCGCCGCAGCATTTAGCGGCATAGATAATGTCAATTTCCATCCTGAGGGAAAATCCAGATGATCAGATATGCTTTTATTCCTCATTTTAAATGTGCTGCTCTTTGAAATGCAGAGTAGCATTAACCACAGTAGCCATGTTGGCATAGTTGTGCCAAAAAATGTGCCGTTAAAAACATTCATTCTTTTGTTTTTGTGACTTAAACTGAGTCATTTCATACATGTAGTGACCTGCTTCACTACATTGCATAATACAGTACATTTTGTCCATTGTGCTTGTAATCAGCTTAACCACTCTGATACCTATATATATATATATTGCTCCAGTAGCTTTGTCTGTGGGAATTTGGGCCATACTTTTACTGAGTCATGGTCTCTAAAATAACATTGTGAACAAATGAAACTGTGAGCGACTGTTAACAGCTTTTATAGTACGTGTGAAAAAAATGTTCGCATTGAATCTCGGGACTTGCTTTTCGATAAAGTGCCTCTGCAAACCGACCAACAGGCACTACTTAGGCTGTTGTTGTACTTTTCTTATCCGTACCTCTTGATACGATAGATCTCTTGATATTGATACGCTCTGTGAATGACTCACAGTTGTGCAGAAGTAGCTCAACAGCTATCACATGGATTTCTGTAAACATTCGTGGTCCCCAGATGATCATTTCTTTGGTTTACTCTGGTGATCCAATGAGTTTTTCTCTCGTTTTTTTCTGCAGTTGGCGGTTGTGGCTCATAGTGAAATGTCCCTCAGGATGAAGCTCGGTAACTTTTCAGTGTCATCATCAGGCCTGTAGTGATGCTACTGACCAAATTCCTGCAGAAGTAATACGTCTCACTGCACCAGGGTTCAGTTCAGTGACACAGTTATACCAAGCACTTTACTAACAATTGTTTGCACAGCAGATTTAGGGATCATCTTTGAAATGGCTCCGGGTGACTTTCCCGACTTGTTCAGGTCAATGATTTGCTTCTTTAGATCTTTACTCAGCTTCTCCATTGTAGGGTTTTTGGCTAGGTCTTATGAGTGTCTCAGATGGGCCTCATTGGAGTCATCAACTGTCGTCAATTGTAATCACTCACACAAAGCTAAGAGGTTATGCCGCCAAAAACATTTGATTTGCACAGCTTTCTACATCACCAAAAGTTGATGTATATATATTTTTGACCCCGGAAGACCTGTAATGAATCTATGAAAGAAGCAAAATACATCATTGTTGGGTTTTTTTTTTTTTTGGTGACAAAGATGCATATCAATCACTCCGTCATAGAAAACTAAGAATCATAGGAGTCATTGAAAACTAAAGACTACCATGATATACATGGTGTAGTAGAGAGAGGTGGAAGAAGCCATCTATGTCAAACTCAACAGAGGTGGAGGTCTGAGGCATCA